TGTAATACCACCTTCAATATTGTCTAGAAATTTCTTCATTTCGATAATATCAGAACTTAAAATTGAAATCAATTGTTTATTTGTATTGGATCTAGCCAATTTTAAATGAATTGAACAACTATCAAAGTCTTTAATAATCTTCTCAAAGGTTTCTTTAATATTACTACTTGAAGCAAATTTTTTAAATCCTGATAATTGGGAAATATCATTAAAAAATTTTTTAATTTGATTTAAACAATTTATTAATTTATAACAGGAATTGTAATAATTTTGACTGAAAAATTTCTCAATATTCTTCTCTTTTTGCCTTATCAATCCTTTAATCATAAATTCTACATCTTCGACTGTAATTACTAATGCACCACAAGTTTTTTTTATTATATTGAACATTCTCATAAGCGACCGCTATCTCCTTTGTTAAAGTAGTTATCTTCATTACAAGAGGTATAAAAAGTGCAACTGCTTCGTTTAAAGCTGCTTAGCTTACAACTGTCTCATTTTCTCTATTCATAATTACATTTATTGGATCTGCTGCTTCATTTGCTTTTGCTTCTGATTCAAAAATAATATCAGTATTGCTTACTGAACTTTCTAAATTTCTTTCATGAAACTCATTCATAAACTTGGACAATTCTGTCGTAGTAACATGACTTAAATCTAATTGTGTTTTACTAGGAATATCATTCTCATATGTTTTCGGATCAATAGATGTAATAGTTTCATGAGTATTTTTCGGTAAAATTATTGATTTCAAAGTTTCAACAACATCTTGGATTATTGGCTTTTTATCTGGATCACCATCCTAACATTTTAATTAATTAAGTAAAATTAAATAAATGTATTTTACACTATTAATTTATTGTAAAGATTTCACTTACTCGTATAAAGGTTAGAATATTCTTTAGGTATGCCTTCAATGATATCTTCTCTTAATCCACCAAAAATTTTAATAGCTAAAGATACATCATATATATTATCATCATATTCATCACTAGTAAAAGAACTTTTTCCACTCAACAATTCCCATAATAATACACCAACACTATAAACATCACTTTTCTTATTCAATTTATACTTTTTTGACGTACTTTCAAATCCTTTTGGATCAGAATATGAGACTATACCAAATATTTGTGACTTATCTCCAGTACTTTCTTTAAGATGCTTGCTTAAACCAAAATCTGCTAATTTGATTGAATCTTGATGTATAAGTACATTGTTTGAATGCAAATCTCTGTGTATAATTTCTTCATTATTTAAAGATTCTACTACGCTTGATAATTGGAATGCTAATTTGTATTTATCTTGCCAATTAAGAATCTGAAAATTCTTTTTTAAATATTTATTAAGTGTACCTTCATCTGCATATTCTAACGCCAGTAAATATTTTTCATCTAAAAAATATAAAAAAAAAAGTTTATTCAATCTTAGCATAAGGATATTTAACAAATTTTTTTTTATTGGATTATAAGTTGATGCATCTAAGCTTTCGAAAAGGAGAAAGTGTCTTTACGTATGATTGTAGAAGTAAAGTCTATTACCTGAATGAATTTTAGTTATTTCATAAAAACGTATCATATTATCATTAAAATCTACTTTTCGATATAATTTCATCTAAAAAAAAGTAAATTAAATTATATATATTTTTAATTTAACATAAAAATTACCCAACTATATACCTCTTTAACAATCTCTATAACAGTAAGCTTGTCTGGATTAAATAATTTTAATGCAAAATATTTTTCACCATATTTAGCTTTATAAACTTTACCAAATCCTCCTTTACCTATTATTTTTATATTTATAAATTTATCGTATTCGTAATATCTTATGTACTTTTCTTTTATACAATTTTCTATCCATTTTATTGATTCATCAGCAGATATTTGTATTTAAGAAATCGTGTATTAGAAAATAAAATAGTTGCTAAATATGAGAAATATTCTAATGAAGAAAAAGAAGTGTTTAGGAATAAAATAATGGAACACTGATATATAGTATGATTTCTGACTCAGGACCTATGTAACAGTTTAGTCGACGATAAAAATAAATAAATTTTCTAGTTTACTTTGATTTTGGGCTAAATTATATCATTCTTTAAAAGTTTGAAGACATAAAATGTAAACAATTTTTTTTTTAAAAAAAATACTTTATTACTTGACTAATAAATGTTAAATATTAATTTATAAATAAATGTATTTGTAACAAACAACCTACTACAAACAATCTAATAAGCTGTTACATGTAATAGTTATTATAATTAAATTTAGTAATTAATCAAAAAATTTTGACAATAAATCCAATCAGATTGCTAATTGAGTTACACAAATTTCTCTCTAAATATTAATTTTTTGATTTACTGTATTCCTTCGAAAATAAATACTCCCTAAAAATAAGTACCACCAAGATTTATTAGTACTCGAAAATAAGCATCCCCATAATTTATTCAATTAAAATCTGATTATTATTTATTATTATTTCAGCATTCATATATATATTATATAACTCATAAAAATGTTTATTTCAATAATTTTAAATGCTATCACCTTAATCACTATTAATACTATTATTATTATCAATACTATCGTTACCATCATAATTACTATCAATATATATAATATCCAAATTATTATCTTCATTTTCGTTTGCATTCTCATCTATACTCTTATATCCACTTCCATCTTTGCTATCATCTTCACTCTCATCAGATCTGTCTAAAGAATTTAATATCTTACATTTTTAAAGGATCTGATAATAATTTCATCTGAAATTGCCTCCTAAGAACATTTAACCCACATGCAAACATTACTTAATTTTATTTGACGAAGATTTCCTGCAGAAGTTGTTCTTGCATCATCCTTAGACATTTAGTTATGCCATTCTCTTCGTAGATTTTCTTTGAATAGTTTATTGATTGCAAATAAAGCAGTTATCAAATGCTAGTCAATCTACCTGGAATGATCACTAAATTATATTCACTTTGCGAAACTTTAATTTTACCAATTCTTTAATATGACCCCCAAATGAATCATATACTAACATTGCTAAAATATTGTTAGTTCATGCATCATTAAGATAAATCACATACCTTTTTATCAGATCAGCATTCATCCATGCATTTTTCTGAAACTATACTACTACTTCAGAAGAAATTTGTTCTTCTCGTGACATCTATTTTCTTTAAAAATACAGATAGGTGGTAATTTAATACCATATATAAAAGTGAATAAAAACTATAAGTACAATAAAATTTTCCTTGCATTCTTTTTCAGTAAATTCTATAAATCAGTCCTCACCTGCAGCATATGTCAAAACTACAGTAAACTGATTCTTCTCATTACCTGTTACTCGAATATGCACAGTTTTTTCACCTTTTGGATTGACTGTGATATTGCCAGCCATGTCAAACCAAACAGGTGTCTCATCTATATTAAAATTTCACACATTTCGAAGGATTTTTCTGTTTTAAGGTGAATAACAAATTGCTGAAACTTTTCTAATAAATCTTGAGTTTAAATTGGAAGTTTTTAAGATATTTTTGTATGTCTTCATAATACCAGTTTGTATCATTTTAAAAATATAACTAGCTAACAGTAAGACATTTTAAAATCCTTTGATGCATTACCATAAAGAACTAAAATTTCAGGTTCTTTCAATATTTTCAGCATTCTATATCATATTATTGCATAAATCATTGCAAAAGCCTACTTTCTTTGTTTTATTATCTAATTATACAGCTTTTTTTTAGCTTCTGGAAAGAAAGCTTTTCAGCCAGATCCAATCTATCTACTATTTTCACTTATTTCTCTTGACCAGTTCGTGTTTATCTTCATCTAACATCTAATTATACTGGCATCAAGTTCAAAATGTGTAGCAGTATTATTTCTTCCATGCTTTTTTGCATAATCTACAACCTGTGACTTTTGAGAGAGAGAGTATAATGTTCGCTTTTGTTTAGCAATTTTTTTTTGTTTTTTTTTGTGGCTTAACCTTTTATTTGCATTGTGATTATTTTTTTTTAGCATTTTTAGATAAATGAAGAAAGATCATCACGTGTTTATGTATACATATGCAACTCAATTTAATAAATCTGTATATTGCATAATAAGATAATTAGCAGTTATAAGATTTGGGATCTTTATTTTTAGTATTTGACGCAGTTTCTAGATTGTTATTTTAGCAAATTTTTAGTATCTGAAAATAAGCATTCCTATAACAAAAAAGAGGTGCTTATTTTTGGAGAAATACGGTATTATTTATTTTTGTTGAATATTAATTTTAAATAATAATTTATTTTGTTTAGGCTTGTAAGCTATATAATAAATAAATAAATTTAATACTTCTATGCCTCGTAATTCAATTTTGAAGGCTATTTTGTCAACTCAGCATTCACAAATACATGGTCTTATGAAACTTTATACTGTGCATGAACATACAAGAGTGCTGTTTACCTTCAAAGAGATTTGATTTTAATTATATTAAAAGGATTAAAAGAATGAAAAGGGCTATCTAAATAAAATAATAAAAATAATGTCGATTTATATTTATGTAATATTAATACAAAAAGAAAAAATAGATGTATTACAAAAACTGATTAGAATAAATTCTCAAAAGATATTTTGATAAACAATAATAAAAAATTTTTATTTTACTTAAAAAAAAATTTAACTAATCAAATTATCATATTTAACGTTCTTTTTAAATTTCTAATTAGTAATAAGAAAAAAATAAAAAAAAGGAAAGGAAAAGTAATTCTACATTCCATGTAATCTCAAATTTTACACCCTTTATATATTTTTTTAAAAGCTATAATTTTAAATTTCTAATTCGCTAAATAAAATGAAGATTGTTAACTATTGATTTGTATTGTATCATAGGAATCTTTTTAATTTGATTATTTTATTCTGATTTCCTAAGATTTTTCAATTACTTTAGAAATATATTTTTTTTTAATTTTAATATTAAATGTAATTAAGTGTTTTCATTATATAATAAGATTTGAAATCAATTCTAATAAATAATTTTTATATATATTTTAGTTATGAATTTTACAAAGTATAATTGCAAGTAAATTATTTATAAAAAAAAAATTTATTAATAAAGTATGTTAATAATTATATGTTAGGTTTTTAGAAAATAGTAAAAAGAAATATTATAAAATTAAACTTATATTATGTATAATCAGATGACTGAATAATCAGTTTTTATATAATAATGAAATAGCTTTTCATATCATAATTTTTATTTAAGGTAATTGTAAGATTTAGTTAATTTATATTATTTCATAAATTATATAACTGATATCTGATGATCATACTTTAGACTTCTCCTTCTTATTAAAATCCATTTAGAAAATTTAGCATTTCTTTAATGATTCTGATATAAAAATGATTAGAGTTAATAGAACTAAAGCAGTTTCAGCATGCAGTGCTATTAACAAATATTTTTTATTTTATAGTAACTTTAGAACTATAATAGGATTCTGAAGAATATATATAATACTGGAATCTGATTTTGTATAGACTTATTATATAATTTTCTGATATGTCATATGTTTAAATTTATATAATCGACTGGTAATTTTTTTATAAGTCAGATATTTATTTGTATAATGATATATACATATCTTATATATATATATACCTTTTTTTATGCATATTTTACTTGATTATCTTCAAAAATTTTTGAAAAAAAAATACAAAATTTATGTAAATTAATTTTGATTTAAAGTGCAAATTTTATCTTGAAAAAAATATAAATCGATTTAATATAAATTCGTAAATTTATCAAAACTTAAAAAAGTTACAGATAGGGTGATTTGTTTACAAATAGGAGATTTGTTTATAGTAAGTTTATTACGATTCTCTTTTTTTCAGAATACTTTATCCTTAAATTAGAATTTTACAATTAGTTTTACTTCTTAGTTAAATTCTACAATTGGTATAATTAATACTTTTTAGTTTAGTTCATTTCTTTTTCTGTATATAAATAAAAAAAATTGGATCAGAAAAAAAAATCATCATATATTTGATATTTTTTTTCTTAAAAAATGCTGCTATCTTGAAAATATAATAAAGAGAGACTTGTAAAATATTTATATTGTACCTATATAGTTTAAATAAAAAAGGTTATTTATTATTGTAACAAAGTTATCAAACTTAGTCGTCACTATGATGAAACTTTTTAAATCTTCACGTTAATGGTAAAGAATGTTTAGCTAAGCAAGAAGTTTAGTTAATCCTAAATTATTTTAAACCAATTTCTAAATCAAAAAGAATTAAAAATGAGGATGATATTAGCAGTACTGAAGAATAGGAAAGTGACGATAATGAAAAATAGGTGATAATAATTTGTTTAAAGTTGGTAAAATAAGTGATGCGAAAAATGATTGTGAAAGTGAAGTTTTAAGTGATGATGATATAATAATTCCATTAAATAATAAACAGAAACTTTGCTTTAGTTTTAGATCTAGTATTATCTGTGAATATGTTAGTCATACTCCTGTTCAGTTTGGCAAAACTAGAAGAATTAAAGTTATTGCAAAGAAACTTTTTCCAGATCTTTTTCCAAAAGAATTTTCACGTAAGAAGTTAGATTGTTCACAAAAACATCAG